GAGAAGGAAGAAAGAGAAGGAAAGAAAGAAGGAGGTAATGGAAGGAGGGAAAGGGGAAGGGAGAGAAGGAAGGAGGAAAGAAGGAATGGAAGGAAAGAAGGAAGGAGGTAATGGAAGGAGGGAAGGAAGGAGGGAGGGCAAAAAAAGAAAGGTAGGCTGTATCCAAATCATTGACAGCCCTGAAGGCCAGCTCGTGAGTTTGCTCGTTTGATGGGTGAAAATGGGGAGTCAGAAAAGGTATTTGTGCATTTGAAGTTAGCAAGCAGCTCAGGCTCCATGGGCATTAGGGAGTAAGGCCAACCTTGAGACATGGTCCGCATCCAGTGCTGCTGACCTGGGACCCCTTCCTTGCACCCGGGGCTTGGGTGGATGATGGGCTCAGCTAGTGAGTGCAAAGCAAGTCAGACCACAGTCAAAAATCAGTTAGCATGCATTTATTAAGTGCTTACTATGGGCCAAGCAGCACGAATTCAAAAACAAACAAACAAGCAAAGAGACAGCATATTCATCGGGGGAGAGAACACACCAAGACCCATGTACATATGATATATACAGAAGAGGGCAAACATAGGTTCTGGGGAGCTGTAGCCTCCGGCTAAACTCCTAAGTGCAGCCTGAACCACGTTCAAATTTAGTTAGGGAAGAAAGTAAGCATTTACACAGAGTTTACTATGTGTCAGGCATGTGCTAAGCACTTTACAAATATTATCTTATTTGACAATCGGGAAATATTTAACAAAATAAATCAAAATACAATAAAACAGACATTATCTTCTTGGGTGATTTTCTAAGTCAATGTGGCGCTTACAGAGCCTTATGACTGGCTTATGATGCATTTCTATTTGAATTTGACACCACTTAAATAAGTGAAATGGGTGATAACCTCGGTAGCAGTGGGGAAGAGGAAAGGACTTCTGTGAAAGGTGGGTTGGAGGGGAGTCTTGAAGGAAGCCAGGGAAGGAAGACGCAGAGGGGAGGAAGAGTGTGTGAGGCCTGGGGGATGGGTAATTCAGGAGATGCAGCGTCATGGATGAGGTGGAGCCAGTAGGGCAGAGCAGCTGGATTAAAGGAGCCCGTGAGGGGAGTCAAGTCGAGACTGAAGAGGCAGGAAGGTGCCTGGCTCTGAAGGCCTGGGCTTTCATACTGGCCCCCAGACCATTATTCCTGGCAGGACAAGTCAAGTAAGGGTCCTGAGATTTCTAAAAGGGAATGGGGAGGGTGAGGAGCACAGGGGGCCATTCCCCTGCTTACTGAGGCTAGATTTAGAAACAGGCTACATTTGTGGGGCAATAATTCTCCTGCTGCTCCCACAATTTTTTTAACAGTCTGTGGTTTTCCAAAACAAGTCTGTTTAAAAGAAAAACAAAAGGAGGGCGCCATCATCATTTATATCAAGGTTCTGAACAAATTCACTTTCACCCTGCCATCCCAAAGCACCCTCCAATGCAGTGAGTCAATGAGCATTCTCGTCTGCTCCCAGGAGCTAAATCGCATTGGATTGGCCCAGCACGCCAAGCTGCCAGTTACACTAATGACTTCCACTCTCTTACTAGGAGGACAATATGTTCCTAACTACTGGACTCTGACAATAACATCTCCAGCTGTGCTGACAAAATCACAGAAATGGCATTTTTATTAGTTCTAATCAAAAAAAGGCTACAATGTAGCACTTTCCTCACTTGGCCTTTGATGAAGACATACATTCACCCCAAGCTGTAACGATGCAAAGAACGTTTCATCCCCCAGGATTCCTGGACACAAAGTGTTTCTTAAAAAATAATGTTCGTGTCTCAAAGCTCAGGTTTGGTATTGTTAATGTACTGTAGCTGTGATTGGTAGACTTCACGAGAGTGGGGCTAGGCTAGAAGGAAAAGAAAAATTAGAAAATGAAACAAAACCAAAAAGGAAAGGAAGGAAAGGAGGAAGGAAGGGAGAGAAGGAAGAGAAGGAAAGAAAGAAGGAGGTAATGGAAGGAGGGAAGGGGGAAGGGAGGGAAGGAAGGAAGAAAGAAGGAAGGAATGGAAGGAAAGAAGGAAGGAGGTAATGGAAGGAGGGAAGGAAGGAGGGCAAAAAAAGAAGGGAGGGAGAAAAAGAGGGAAGGAGGGAGGGAGGAAGGAATTCCCCCAAGTCAATGTCTTCACTTCAAAAATTGCCTTGCCAACTCTCTCCAAAAAGGAACCTCCAAATACTTTAGCTCTCTACCCCTCTGCTCAAAGTCAGACAGCCAGGGCCAGATCAGCACTTTCAAAGCGAGGCTCACCTCTCCCCTCTTCCCACACGGTACCATGCATCAGGCTGGAGTGTGGCATGAATTCCCAAGAAATACTAATTCTGGCAGGAGCAGCAGTGAATGATAAAGCCAGGGCATCACACTGACTAGCAGTTCCGTGAGAAGACTAAATAGTGAAGTGGAAAGAGCATTGGGTGTTAGAGGCAGAAGGCCTGGGATTATATCCTGGTTCTGGCACTTACTTCTGTGACCTTGGGTAAGGCACTTCTCTCTCAGTCTCAGCTTAGATGGCATAATAAATTTGAATTTGGAGACAAAGGAACTGAATTCAGATCGCAGCTCTGCTGTTTAATTCTCTTTGCCTCAGTTTCCTCATCTGTAAAATGAAGGACTTAGACTAGGCAGCCCCCTAAGATCCATCTTTGCTGTGGATGTGTGATCCTGTGGTCTGATGATCTTGGGATCCTTTGTAGCTCTGACCCCTCCCTCGCTTGACCAGAGATGGAGGGGAGGAGCTGGGTGGGGAAAAGTGAAGGGCTAGATGACTATAATCAATGTATTCAGAAGGGGCTTACTTGGCACTATTAGCCTGCGAAAGGAGAGATCCAGGGGAATTCCTAAGAATACAGTATGCTGTGTTAGCGAGATGGCAGACCAAGTGTGTGGAATGTGGGTGTCACAAATGCAGCCAGCCGGAGACTCATCAGCTGGTTTGGGATTTTTTTCTTTATTCGATGACGGAGGTTTACTGGGGGTGGGAAGGAGCGGTCTAACTGGAAATGATTTATGTAGATATAAAAGGCATCAATAAAAAAGGACCCAGAGTTTCATCATTCATCTTACTCCTATCATTCTCACTCCCAGGACTTCCTGGCCAGAGCTTTCCCCTCCTCTTCAGGGTTTACCCTAGCCTAGATGGTGCTAACTCCTTGCAGCTACAACTCACTGGGGACTGATAGTCCTTTCAAGTGAAAGGGTCCTGCCAAAAAAAAAAAAAAAGAAAAAAAAAAGAAAAAGAAAAAGACAAATAAATTGGCCATGAATCGGTAACATGAATGCCTGTGCTATTCTCAGAGAAAGGCAGGTGTTCATCAATATGTGAAGGCAACCGAGACACCTAGATACAGCTTCATTCCACTTTTGGGGGAAGGCAAGCTGCTGTTTGTTTATCACAGTATCAGATATAGGGGCAGCTAGGTGGCACAGTGGACAGAGCTCCGGCCTTGGAGTCAAAAGGCCCTCAGTTCAAATCCAACCTCAGACACTTGACATTTACAGCTGTGTGACCCTGGGCAAGTCACTTAACCCCACTGCCTAGCCCCAAAAAAGAATCCGATTTAGGGCTGGCACCTTAATAATAATAGCTTGTAAGGTTTCCAAAGCACTTTACAAAAATTATCTCATTTGATTTTCCCAATAACCCGGGAAAGGAGGTGCTATTATTATCCCTATTTTATTATAGATGAGGAAACTGAGGCAAACAGAGGTTAAGTGAGTTGTCTGGGGTCACCGAGGTAGTAAGTATCTGAAGTAGGATCTGAACTCAGGTTTTCCTAATTTCAGGTTCAGCCCTCTATCCAGTACTGCCTTGCTATTCATACTTTTCCCACTGCATCAGTGCTTACAGAAGCCCTTTGAAATATGTTTACCCAGAAAACTATGGCAATTACTGCTAATCCCAAATATATCGAACTCAGGTACTCCAATCCAAAATAATAGAGAGATAAAAAGACAGCAGAGTTGTATAATTTTAATGACCAAACTTGGTCCAAGAGAAGAGTTGAAAAAATTCACCTTTTTCTGTTTACAGAGATTAAGGAAGGGGGACATAATAGGCACTTAATAAATTCTTATTGTTCACTGACTTAATGCATAGTGCATATACTGTCAGACTCACTCCATGACTTGGTTAGCTCCTCTGGTTTCTTTTTCTTTCTTTCCTTCTTAAAGTCTTTGTTACAAGGGTTAGCTTGCTAGGTAAGTGAGGGGAAGGGATACATTTGAACATCAAAGTGACATAACACATAAGTGTTGTTTTGTTTTGTTTTTATGAAATAGCACTGGACTTGGAATCAGGAATGATCTGGGATTAAGCTTTCCTTCCTTCCAACCCTTACTATTTGAATCATAGTAGCCAAGTCACTTTCCGTCTCTGAAGCTCAATTTCCTCACCTATGAAATGGAAAAAAGCAATGTGGTATAGAGAATAGACAGCTACTTTTGGAGGCAGGAAGACGTGAGTTCAAGTTCAACTTCTGACACACTGAATCTTTGTTGCATGACACTGAATAAATCGCATAACCTCTCAGTGGCCCTAAGCAATTATCTCAGCATATCAGTCACAGAGCAATTACTGACCTGTCTTGGAAGAAAATTTCCTACTTGAGTGAGATCATAGATCCAATAAACCAGATACCACTGGCACCTGTCTTATAGGACTCCCAGTGTGAGGCTCAAAGAGAAAGTCAGTGTAAAGTGCTTGCTTTGTAAACGATAAAGTTCCTTCTTGGTGGTGGTGATCAAAACAGGTTTAGCATTTTGGAAATCTTAAAATCATATATAAACACTATTATAAAAATATAGCAAGTGCCCAGAAAGCCCTAATGTACCTGAACAATGCCAACTACTGGCTTCAACACTCCATCGGACAGATGAGTTTCTTTCACACTGAAGGCTGTTTCCTAGCTAGCATTCAAAGGCAGCCAAAGCAATGTAAGGGTCAGTTCCTGCATGCAGCTGAGAACACAAAGAGGAGTGAGTGTCTACTTACTGGAGATAAGGCATCAGCACCAGACAGGACCGCAAGAGGGGTCTCTTTTTCATTATCCTTCGAGAGAAAAAGTTTTGCTGGTAGTTATCCTTGATGTTCAGAACGTACTGGTGATGCAGCATCGAGAATCGGACCTCCCGCAGGCCCCGGAAGCTGGTCTCTTCTATCAGTCGAATAACAGACTGTTGAACAATAGACTGTTCAATTAGAAAACAAAATGGACCAGAGGAAAGCAAATTAATAAACAGTCAAAACGAAGCCAAGCAAACACCAACTTCCCCAGCTTCCGTTCAATGCCAGCAATGCTGCCAATGTCACAGCCTCTAGACACAGAGAGGAATACAGGTCTGCAGATTTAGTGCTGGAAGGAACTTCAGAACCCATTCACCCAACCCACCCATTTGACAGGTGAGGGAAGAGAGACCCAGAGAGATCAACTTTCCCACCACCACACAGCTAGCAAGTGGCAGAGACAGGATTCGGAGCCAGGCATTTGACTCCAAATCTATCACAATTTCTACCCTACCACACTGCCTCTACTCCAACTACTCTAATGGACTTGGCATCTCCATAATGGGGATATCCCCTCCAATAATGCAGATTGCAACTCATCCATACTATCTTTGTCAAAAAAGGGCAATGTCAAGTTTTACTCTGTGTAAAGCAGGCATAGACGAGTGCCTAGTTTCCTCTGTTCAATGTGGCATATGGCTTCTCTCACATGACAATACCATCTTAGATGTTAATACAAGCTAAAGAAGCTCAGGAATATTCTGCTAGGACTGAGACCCACGGGTAACTAACTCCATTCTACTCTGAAGCTGTGACTATCTGCTTGTATCTCTTTTTGTGTGTGCTTCTTGGGGGAATTTCCATAAGAGGAATTAAAGATGGAATTGTGCAAAGTTCAAATAAATCAATCCAGTCACCAGTCCAAGAAGCCTGCCAAAGGAAAAAGTAAAAGGCCAGACCAATTATTTGAAGAATACATTTTACAGTCACCTTCTCTGCATACTAGATAGCTGCTAAAATACAATCAATTATTTCATCTCACGACACTGTCCAGTGACTAATACACACCGTTTTCTCTCTTTATTCCTTTTTAAAGAAGAAGGGAATCTAAAACAGATATCCCAGTTTTTCCTCTGAAAAAGAGCAAAAAGAGCTCGTGTGTGTGTGCACGCACGAGCATGCATGTGTGCACAGGTAAAAAATAAATTTAAATCAAAGAGAAAGGCCAAATCCTTTGGACATGAAATTAATCCTCTGAAGTCAATTTCAAGGCTTTTTGATGTGACTTGACATTCTTCACCAAAAAAGAAGACTAGAGCAGCAACCTTTCTTTTATTTGCTTTGTGATTAATGAGCTGTCCTCAGTACCTTGGACTAAGGATGCATTTGCAGAGAGACCAGAGTATGAAACAGGAATGATTGATTGGCCTGACCACAACTCAATAAACATTTGCAAGTACATCTTCCTGGGGACAGAGTGTGACTGTTCTCTCCTCATCTCTTGACAAGCTAACAACATCACATGCCCTCCCCTCCCATGGGCCAGGTGTAGCCTTGAGACACTCCAATACACACACTTTGGATTGAAAACTGCTCCAAACGGAGGCAGCATTTATCTTTTGGACTTCACTTGTAAATTCAAACACATACCCATGTAGATATACCAACTACTCCTACCATCCCTGCTATATATAATTTAGCTCAATTCCCCCCTGGCTTTGACAAGTTTCTGAGGCTAGCATTTGGTTTTTGTCAAAAAATTAGGTTATATTTCTGATGATGGGAAAAATAAGAAGAAAACCCTCCCAGAATTATGGAAAAAAAAAAAAAAAAACAAACCATTGAGGAGGGTAAGTTTTTCATCCGGTGAGTCAGTATTTGTTTGTTTGCTTGTTTTTTGCTCTTTTTAATTAGCATGGATATATAGCCAGATAGGGCTTGGATTTAGAAAGGACCTTGTGGGCCACTGAGTCAAACCTCATTCATTTAACAGATGAGGAAACAAAGGACCAAGTAGGTTAAATGACATTTCATGTCACACAGAGAAGAGGCTTCAGAGATAGGACTTGAATCCAGGCCTTCTGATTCACAAGTCAGCACTCTTTCCATTATACCATACTGCCTCCCCAGCTATGATTGAAAACAGTGCCTGGTCATTACAAGGTTGAGACATGAGTGGCACAGAGAGAAAGGAGGGGATTAAAATGCTATTCTTATGATAACAATCAGTACCTCTGGGTATTCTCGCCAGCCAAAGTGATCTCTGCAGAAATACTTCCAGACTGTGTGGTAGTTGGAATTGACATTGAAAGAAGAAGGCGTGGATAGTCTTCGAATTTGGTCAAATTCAGTTGTCTCATACACACTCATTGCATTCAAATCCGCCCAAAACTCATGTCCCCTAAAAAGAGCAAGGGAACCAAAATTCAGTGCATTCCCAAAATTACATTTCAGCCTTTGATCAAGTTAAAACCCACTGAGGTATGCAGGAAGGCTCCTCATTACAGAGTAAGGGGAATGAAGAGGACAGTAAAACTATTCATCAAATACTATGAACATAGTATTATCAAAGCATAACACCCATGTATGTACCTGTTTCATTCTGTTGGCTGAGAATTCCAAGTCTCCCATTTTTCTATAGGATCATAGGTTTAAAGCTGAATGGGATCTTAGAAGCCATCTAGATCAACTCCTTTATTTTACAAATGAGGAAACTGAGGTACAGAAGTTGAGTGACTTGCCCAGGATCACACAACATAATAATAATAAGCGTCTGAGGCAGGACTTATCTCAAAGTCTTCTTGTCTCCAGGCCCAGAGTTCTAACCACTGAGCAACTTTCCCAAAGCTAAAATAAGCTCGCTGACAGCAGGGACTAAGTTTTTTTTTTTTTATTATTATTGCCTAATAAACTTTTTTTATAGAGAGAGCTAAGTGGTTCAATAGAACATTGTTCCTGGAGTCAGACAGATCTGAGTTCAAATCTAGCATCAGACACTTCCTAGCTATGTGACCCTGGGCAAGTTACTTAGCCTGTTTGCCTCAGTTTCCCCCTAATGATGAGCATATGGGCATAATAATAATAGCACCTCCCTCCCAGAGTTGAGGATCAAATAAGATGTTTTAATGTGCTTAGCACAGTACCTAGTACATAGTTGGCACTTAATAACTGCACTAGCATTGTTCCTGATAAATATCACTCATTAAAAATCACCTGGCTCTCTTGCTGCTTGCTATGGGAAACCAGGAAATGTCTATAGCTGCTTAATGAATGACCGAGAGAAGGGCAAGAGGGAGAACTGCATGATATCCATATGCCAAGTAATTCTCACTGACTCTGCCCCAATGGTAATGAAGAGCAACGTTCTCTTTCATCCCACGGGTGGTAAAAGTGATATCAGGGGAAGACAAAACACTGAAAACAAACAAAAAACAAACAAAAAAATACACTGATTTCATTATCAGGAGACTAAGCTATGGGAATATTTGGGATTGTTTTGGTATCCATACTGTTACTGCAAAACAACCTTTTATAGGTCTCCAGAAGCCCCAAAGGAAGGGAGGGAGGAAGGGAGGGAGGGAGGGAAGGGGGAAGGAAGGAAGGAAGGGAAGAAGGAAGGAAGGAAGGGAGGGAGGAAGGGAGGGAAGGAGGAAGGAAGAACTCCAACACAGAGAAGCTACTATGTGAATCAGAGCCATTAGGAAATTCACACATCTGATTCATAAAAGGGAGCCTGATGAAAACACTAACATTTGGGTTTTCTTTCTTTTTGTAATGGAACATCCTCTAAGTTTTGAAAACAAATGAAACGTCCTTTTACATAAACATATGTTAACTATCATTAAATAATGGCTGTTGCTGTAGCATGCGGGGCAGTGGGACATAACAGAAGGCACCCTAGGTGGGGCAAGCTCAATCAGAATCCTGGCGCTGCCACTTACTACCCACCTGACTCCTTACAACCTCTCTGGCCTCAGTTTCTTCATCAATAAAAGGACAGACTAGAAGATATAGCTATGGTCTCTTTCAGCATGAAATCTCATGAATATTCTATAATTCTATGACATCTGAAATCATGGAATCTATTTTTTGTTAATGCTGGAAAAGCAACTCGATTTGCCAGAGAGAATCTTAAAATGGACCTTGGTAGCACACATGCTGACGTCTTTGCTTCTGGTTATTGGAGAGATATTGCTGTATGTGAAAATCCGGGTGTTTGGACAGATTGTTGCTCCCTGCCTGTCATTCAGGGGTTTTGGAAGTGTGTCAAATCAGGCCAGAAGCTCGGCTGGCTGGACAGAGCTCGTGGGGTCATTGGTCTGATCGCCACAAAAGCCAGCTAGCTGTGCTCCCAAGTTCAAGGCACAGTGTGTACCCACACCCTGGGCCTGGTCATATTGCAGATGCATGTAAATCAGCCACAATCCCACTCATAGAATGGAGATGAGTCAACACAAACCGATGGGCACTCCTGGGAAAGCATCTCAAAGCCACATGCCACTGGCCCGGGGAACAGTGCTGAGCAGCCTATAAAAGGACAGCAGCCTACTACTCTGTGGCCAAGCTCTAAACTTTCTCCCACACTAAACTAATTAGCAGGGCCTGGATGAATGACTAGTACACAGATGCTGTTTTAAAACAATCTGACAAGTGCAATTTTGAAAATGGGGGTGGGGGGCGGGGGAGAGGAGTGAGCACAAGGGACTCTGCCCCAGTGAGATCACTCACTGTTGGAAAGCAGTGTGCCCTCTTCCTTCATCACGTGGGACTCCAAATATAACCGGCAATCACAGCCTGCAATACTAGTTAGTGAACTCAGAAACTCTCACTGTTAGTGCTAACAGTGAGACAGAGACAGACAGATAGACACAGAGACAGAGAGACACAGACACACGCAGACAGAGAGTTTGGGAGAAGGAGGAGGGGAGGGGAAAAATGAAATCCCTCTTTCATACAAGGAGCTCTAAATGGAGAGCTTAGAGGCCATCTGGTCCCAGATCCTCATTTTACAGACGAGGAAATTGAGGTTCAGAGAGAACAAACGATTCAAGTAGGAAGCATCAGGGTAGGATCTGATTTAGCGACTCGGGAGTATGGAATGAGTGGCCCGTTAACCCAAGAGTCCTGATGGCGTCCTCTCTTCCCTTTGTTCTCCCAAACTCCAATCCAATAGGGTCTCTAGGGTGTCACGGCTCCTCTGCTTACTTGTACTGGTCCAGATCAATGAGCAGGTGGGCAATGCTTCAGAGACATTTCATAGGCAGAAAGGAACAGCTCTGATGACTAAAACTGGACCATTGTGTATCTAAGTGGGAGAATGATCAATGGTGCATACCCGCCACAGAAAGCTGGCATTTCTCATCAGAAGCCACACTAATACAGTTTAGCAACTATATCTGGCCAGGCACCAGCCTGGACGGTTTCGCTGGGTGCCCTCATCATAGGAGCATAGATTTCAAGTTGGGAGGGCCCTCAGACCAACTCTCTCATTTTACAGGTGAAGACACTGAGGTGGAGATGGGGAAAGTGCCCGAGGTCACACAGGTAGAATTTGCACCCATGTTCTATGACTCCTGGGTGGGCACCCTTTCCTCTGGATCAGGCAGCCCTTTAGCCTTTTCCACAATCACCCACCAACCCCACCCTCCCTAAACTCCCGGATTCCAAAATGAAACACACTTCCTCTTGAAACTTAATCTCTAGTTGATTTGCTTGAAATTATGAGCAAATAATTAGGAATTCCATAAGGAGGTCAAACAGAATTTCATCATACGTTAATATGCATGGTCCCTGCTTTTTCCTGGCTATATTTCCTGTGTATTTGAAGTCATTGGTTTAATTGACAAGCACATTCTGAAGCCTTGGAGCTCTGGCTAGAGGATGGGAAAAAATCTGCATACTGAAACTATTACAGAGTTAGTTTTACTCAGGTCACCATTCAAGTAATTACTACTTTAGGGAGGGAAATGCTTCCAGTATCTTGATTTGCATGAGAATGCTAGTGACCACTGGTAGCTACTCCTAGGTGGCTCACACACCAATCCTTTGGGTACAATGACAAATCATGGTGAACTACAATCGAATGATGGTGAGATGGATGGGTAAAAATGCTGATTTAGCCTTGATCTGATCTTCAATATGCTTGTTTTAGAGCTTCAGAGACAGACCAATAATTGAAAAACATTACAGCTTTCTTTTTTAAAGATTCATCTCACCACCAGGTCTCCCTTGAACAGGACACGTTTTAGAAAGGAGCCAACGCTGTAAACTTTCTCCATTGGAGACAGAAAAATGGCTCCACAGGGCTCCCAAAGACCAGCATTGTCCTCCTCCATCCCTCCCAAGCCACTACCTAAATTGATCAAAAGGCGTTTGTCGTGCACCTATTTAGGGTTATGATAGAAGTGCAAGATTGTAGGTTAGCAGAGGGTTAAAGCTGCAGTCAGCTTAGGGATGATAACTGAGTTGAACCCATGAGTCCTAATGATATCACAAATGAAATAGTAGAGAGACAGGAGGGGAAAGGGCCCAGGATAGAGCCATAGGGGACACCCAAGGCAAACCAGATGAAGATCCAGCAAAAGATGTTGTTTGGGGAATGGCCAGGAGGCCTGTGTCACTGGGTCAAAGAACGTGTGTCAGGAAATAAGGACTAAGAAGACTGGGAAGGCAGGAAGGGGCTCATTTCTGCTTTGAATGCCAAACAGCATTTTATATTTGGTCTTGGAGGCTATAGGAAGTCATTGGAGTTGTGTGTGTGTGTGTGTGTGTGTGTGTGTGAGATGGGCACACCTGAACTTCAGTAAAATCACACAGAGTATGGACTCAAAGCAGGCAGACACTCCCCTCCCCCACCCCCAATCAGGCTACTGCCAGGAGTGGTGAGGAGGATCTGCCCTAGAGTGGGGACAGTGTCAGAGAGAGGAGGCATACTTGAGAGATGCTGCATAGGTGACATCAACAGGCCTTGGCAACCACTTGGATATGGGTTGGGGTGGGGGGGTGGGGAGGGAGTGGGGAGGAATGAGAAATAGAGAGGAGTCCAGGATAACTCCTAGGTTGAGAGCCTGAGCAACTGGAACAGGGGCGGTGAACCTATGGCCCCATATGACCTCGAGGCTGCAGGTTCCCCACCCCTGACCTGGGGGGAGAATAGAATACGCCTACTAGGTGCCAGGCACTGTGCCAAGAGCTTTATAATATTATCTGATTTGAGATTCACAACAACCCTGAGAGGGAGATCCTATTATCATCATCCCAGTTTTACAGATGAGAAAGCTATGGCCAACAGAGGTGAAGTGACTTGCCCAGGGTCACAAAGCTAGGAAGTGTCTGAGACGGATTTGAACTCAGGTCTTCTGGACTCTACTTTGCTACCTAGCAGCCTCAACCTGGGATGGC